AATAAGCATGGAATTATACTTCCGCAAAAAAGTTTTCTTCTGCACAGCATTATTTCTTGGTGATAATTTGGGCTTAAATACTATATTAGGCTTTCAAAGAAGTTTTATGTCAAATTATTTTTGTCGATTTTGCAAATGTGTACGTTCGGATACCCAGCATTTATCTATTGAAATAAACTCTTCTTTGAGAAATCCTACAAATTATCTAGAGGATCTTTCAAAAAATACCCCAAATTTAACCGGCATTAAATATGCATCTTTATTTAATAACTTAGACTGCTATCACGTTACTGAAAATTATAGTGTTGATCTTGCCCATGATATATTTGAAGGGATAGGGGTGTTTCTTTTGGGCTCATTATTATATCAGTTTGTATTTGTTAACAAATTTTTTGATTTAGATACATTGAATAACAAAATCGAATACTTTAACTTTAACATAAACCATAATAAACCTCCATTAATTTCACAAGATCAGCTAAAGAAACGATCAATAAAAATGTCAGCTAGTGAAATGAAATATTTTATTTTAAATTTTGGGCTTATGTTTGGCAACTTTATTCCAGAAAATAACGATTTTTGGAAATTGTATATACTGTTACGGCAAATATTACAGATCGTATTGGGAAGACATGCTACGGCTATTATGTGTAATCATTTGGCTCTTCTAGTAAAGAATTTTAATTCTTCATATTCAGAAATGTTTCAAGTTCCACTTAAACCGAAATTTCATTTTCTCACTCATTATTGTACAATAATGAGCAAAATTGGCCCCTTGTTACAAACTGCCACACTACGATTTGAATCTAAGCACAGGCAGTTAAAATTATCAGCGAACGTTGTCGCATCTCGAATTAATATTACTAAAACTTTAGCTATTAAACATCAGCTTAAATTGGCCTCAAGATTTGTTTATAAATCGGGCTTTCATCATGATATTTCATTTTCTCGTCTTTCAAATTCTGTGGAATCCTTATTTGAAACATATCCTGATTTTTCGGATTCGATTTCTAATTTTCAATCTATTAAAAATAAGCTAGAGTCCTTTCAATGTAACAGTAAAATCGAAGAAACATGGAGAATATCAATTAATGGAAAAATTTTTAGATCAAATGATATAATTCAATTAGATGAAGTCACTCCTGAATTTGGTAACATTTTTAAAATATTAATAAATAACTCAAACCAGGTATGTTTTATTAGTAAAAAGTTGAAAGTAGTTGAATTTCATACGCACAGCTTTTCTTATGAGGTTGAATTTACAGAAACCAAGGTGTGCCTCTTTTTAGACGATATGGAAAATATTGACACTTATTCCATAGTCAAGCATGATAACAAAATGTTTATCACAGTGTTTTGAAATATTGGTTTGTTTAAACTTTTTAGATATTCAATTAAGGATCTTTTTTGTTTGTAAAGTTGACATTCTTATTGGCATACTTTTTCCAATAACTGAATAATGTCTTTTTCTGTGTAATTTTTAGTCAAATGAGTTTTTATTTTTATAACTACTTTACTTACCTGTAGAGTGAGTAATATTCCGTTGTCATTATTTTAATGTTCAATTATTAAACATAAGTTTCCTGTCTGTTTAGAATATCGTTTAGTTCGTTTCACTTATAGGTAGCTGCGCCTATACCTGTATTTTTTATTTAGTTTATATATAAACTATACTATAAAAACATTTATTTTTATGATGCATAAAAATAAATTTTTTTTGTACCTATGGCTCAATTTTTTTAGAACGAGTTAAGTAAGTGATTCAATTGCCATTAATATAGCATTCTACGCTTTCGGCTCTTCAAGATGAAGTGGGCCCAATAAAGCTTCTACTAATCACAACTTTTCTTTTGATTAGAGGTTATTAGACAACTTTATAGCCGGAAATAAAAAATATGCTAACCATACTAGCATTCATATTATAGCAGTCAAGTTAAAGCTAATACACATCTACTAGTCCCAACTCATCTGCTGACTAAGGGTCATTAAAGAACATTAATACTGCCAAATAAAAAATATACTAACCACTAATACACCTACAATAGTATAGCCAAAGTTTCTGCTAATCGCAACTATTGTGATGAATAAGAGTTACTAAAGAACATTATGCTGGCAATTAAAAATATTGTCGGCACTAGTAGATAAATATAATAGTAGCTATCAATCTTAATTATGCAGGAGGCTACTGGTAAGAAAGTATACTTATTTACCATAGCTATGCGCTTTTCCCTAAAATTTAACAAAACCATTTTGATAGCCATAACAAAGCAACTGATTTGGCGCCTATTTAAGTCAGATATTTTATTGCTGCAATTAAATTTTTTTTAATCATTAGTAAACTTTTCTTTCAGTGTAGTAGGAAAAGACACCGCTTTTCGACTGGGAATACTGAAGATGGGTTTGAACGTAAATGCTTTAGTGGAAAACACGTCGTTTCTGAAAATCAAAAACGTGTTAGTTAAGCTTACCATAGACCCGAGAATAAAACCGGTTCGACAACCTCTTCGAAAGGTACCCATCACGGTGGAAGAAGCAGTAGAACAGAAATTGGACGAGACTTTAGCTAAAGGAATAATTGAGAAGGTCCGTGAACCTAGCGAATAGGTGTCCCCAATAGTAGTAATTTTCAAGTCGGGTGGCGACATCCGTATTTGTATTGATATGCAGAGGGCAAATATGAAGCTATTCGGCGGGAAAATTATCCCTTACCAACCTTTGATGGGTTTGTAACTAAACTGAGAAACGCGCGGTTCTTCTCAAAGTTGGACCTGCTTAACGCATACCACCAGGTGGAATTAGATGAAGAAAGTCGCCCAACAACGACATGTATTACACACAAGGAAATGTTTAAATATACACGTTTGTTGTTTGGGGTCAATTCGGCTCCAGAAATTTTTCAGCGTATTATTGAGGCCATATTTGCAGAGTGTGAAGGATGTTTAAACTGCATAGATGACATTATTATTTACGGAGGTACCGAGGAAGAGCATGACAAATCTGTCAAAGGTGCTGAAAACATTAAAGGAAAATAACGCCGTTCTTAATGACAACAAATGTTTATTCAAAGTCCAAAACTAGGAGTTTTTAGGCCACAAGCTGTCAGTAAATGGAATCGAGGCAGCAGACAGCAAAGTAAAAACTATCCTTGAATTTCGATCCCTAACACTAAGGAAGAAGTCAGGAGTTTTCTGGGTCTTGTGACGTATATGGGGAAATTTGTTCCTGATCTTGGTAGCATCACGGATTCATTGAGACAAATCATAAAGCAAGACGTCAAATTCATTTGGACATCGACGTATCAAAAAGCATTCGACAAGTTAAAACGAATGCTGGCTAAACCACCAGCGCTGAACTAGAGACGGATCATAAACCCCTAGAAGTAATTTTCAAACCGTCTTCAAAGCCGCCCGCCAGGATTGAAAGGTGGGTGCTACGCTTACAAGCGTTCAAATTCAAAATCATTTATCTACCTTCGAAACAAAACATCGCAGACTGTGTGTCTCAGCTGTGCCCATCCTATTCCAAAGAACCTTTCGAGGTTGGGAGCATATACATATACCGTCATAGAGGCGGCAACACCAAAAGCGGTGACCATTTCACAGATATTTAACGAAAGCAAGAACGATGAACTTTGCGAGGAAATCGTATTATCATACCTAACACCGTTAGACACACAGATTTTGAATTTGGCTCACGAGGGCCACCCGGGAGAAACAGCTATGAAACGACGATTACGGGCAAAAGTGTGGTGGCCACAAATTTATCGAGAAGCTGAGAAAATTGTGAAAACTTGTTTGGATTGTCTCCAGTGTCCACCAATGACGAGACATAAGTTCCCGAACGGGCCGTGGCAACATATTGCTATCGATTTGATGAAGGCTGGTCCTATATCTTAAAAGATACTGGTCGTGATCGATTATTTTTCGCACTACCAAGAGATCCAATTTCTCAAGTCTCCTACGGCAGCCACCATTATCGCGCATCTACAGGAAATGTTTTCTCGACTTGGAATACCGAATTCGATACGAGCTGACAACGGGCCCCAGTTCGCAAGAAAGGAGTGTCACTTGTTTTGTGAGGGAAGCAATATTGAGTTTATTCACACAACACCTTATTGGCCGCAGGCCAATGGGGAAGTGGAAAATCTAAACCGATCAATCTTAAAACTATTGAAAATAAGCCATACTGCAGGAAAAGACTACAAAGCTGAACTGCAGGAATTTACTCTGATGTGCATATAATACGGCATCGCATAGTACTACCACAGGTAAATAAATCCCCGTCGGAGCTTCTCTACGGCAGAAATATTAGAGACAAAATCCCAACTATCTACGATTTATACAGTGAGCTGACGGATGAAGAAGCCTATGATCGAAACCTGCTAAATAAACAAAAAGGAAAGGACCTGGAAGACCGGACAAAGGGCGCGCGAGAAATTGACATAAATGTTGGAGATCCAGCTTTAGTCAAGAATGTTGTCGTTCCCCATCAACTGATTCCGACTTTTAGTAAGGACACTTAAAAAGTTCAACAACGGTCCGGAAATGAGTTGGTTCTGGAGGGAGCAGGGCGCGTTATTCGACGACACGTCAGCCACGTTAAGATAAATCTGAGATACATCTTTTCAGCAGCCTGCCGCGGGCCCGGAGACATCCAACAATCCGAAACGTTTACAGGATTTGGAGGACGGTTCGATAACACAGAAGGTAGCACGTCCCTCGAGCCATCTGAAATCCCGAAGGTAGTGAATACACTCAGATTGGAAAGAAAGGGAGGAATGTGGAGACCCGCAGTGGATGCGGATCGGAACGAGAAAGAAGAGTAGGCGTTTGTCATTAGATAGAGAACTGTCATGGAACTGTCTATGAGTTAAGATGTGTTTGTTGGAGTTGAAATAAAAAGCGTATTTTCAAACAGTGGTGTTTTACTGGGTTATTACAATCGCTATATACCTATAATATATAGAATTCAACAATTTTTTTAATTCTTTATAATGTTAGTATAATGAAATAAATTGCTTATTCTCTTTAACTATTATTGTATGCGTATTATAACACTCTAATTCATTGCCATATGTCAATGCCACACTATCAGTAAGTTCAACTTCAAAAGCGTAAAAGTGACGATTAAAACCAATAGTATGCAACAATTCACATATAAAACATATCTTCTCACTTTGGTTAATAATAATATCCCTAATTTTGCCAAATGTAGGTTGATCCTGAAAATCGATAAGAATAATATCACCTTCTTGAAAAGCTATGCTATTGGTAGAGATTCTGCCAACTCTTATTATGTTATCTTCAAACATTTTTAAATTTTCAGATACGTTTGAATGATTTGCAAACTTTTTATTGTACAAATCGGTGATACTAGAGTACTTTTTAAAGCTCTTAGAATAATTAATTGAATTGGTAAATCCAGTATTTGAGGAAAACCGTAATGACAATTGAAGCTGATGTTTAATGGCTAATGAACGGGTAATATTCACTCTTGAAGAAATGACGTTTGCAGCTAGTTTCAATTGTCTGTGTTTAGATTCATACCTAAGTGTATTTGTTTGTGATAATGGTCCAATCTTTTCCATAATTGTAGGATAATGTGTCAAAAAATGAAATTTAGGTTTTAGTAATACTGAAAACAAGTCCTTGAATTGAAAACATAATTCGTAAATTAATGATTTTAGTTTTATTGGTTGATCTGGTGTAACACGTAAACTTAGAGCAATGTGTAGAACATCTCGTAACAGAAGATAAATATTCCAGTGTTTATTACCTTCTGGTATTAAATGTGCCATCATAAGTGAAAAGTTTAAAATAAAGCACTTCATTTCAGAAGCAGACATTTTCAATATTTTCTTCTTTATTGATTCCAGAGATATTACAGGAGGCTTGTTGTCATTTCTATTAAAATTAAAATATTCTATTTTATGGTTCAATGTATCATTATCAAAAAATTTATCGACTAAAACAAACTCGTATAATAAATGGCTCATGATAAAGACACCAACACCTTCAAAAATATCGTGGGCCAAATCTGCAGAAAAATTCAAAGTAACATGAAAGGAGTCGACGTTATTTAAAATGGTTGAATACTTTACACCGGTTAAATATGCATTATATTCGGCTACATCGGCTGTATAATTTTGTACGTTTCTTAGAAATGAGGAATTCTCTTCAAATAAACTTTGTGTCTCTGTGCGAAGACACTTGCAAAATCTACAAAAAGAATTTGCCACAAAGCTTTGCTGAAACCCTAAGATAGTATTTAGACCTAAATTATCTCCTAGGATGAGAGTCATACAAAAATACAAATGTACTTCACGCTGAGGGGTTGATACTTTTATACCTTGACGTTTGAGTTCATTTAATTCGTCTACTAGTTTTGAAAACATTACTGCCTCCCCAAACGACTTTAGATCTGACGAATGAAATAATTGGGTTAAAAATATATTCTCTAACTGACTTCGATAGTATATAGGCAAACAGGGAATGGAGAAATAAATGGTTCCAATTTTATGCACCCCAGCATGTGATCCCAAAGGGTTTCCCGCCTCAAAGTCATCATAATATAAAAACAGTGGCAAAACTATATCATGTGCATCATAACATGAAATCTTGTCTTTCCAAAATTTTGTCTGTATTATGTTAGATACACCTGATTTTTTTTCTAATGAACTGATATACGTCAAAGTGTCATCTAAAACATTATCTAAAGCAAAGAATTTTTGTAGTATAGCTTTTAATGAAATAAATTGTGCTGTATAATTTTTGGCAATTGGGTCTGATTTCTCCAAATGTTGTCCAATGATAAGTTGCGTTGGGGGTACAAACGAGCCTGCTTGTTCTAAGTACTTCAGACGTAAGTAGTCACTCTCAAAATTGCTAAACATATTCTCAAATTCATTAAAATACTTTTTGAACTCAAACTTATCTCGTTCTGACAGCGAATCAAGATTTACGCAAAATTTTTTAAGCATGTCAAGAGGTTTTAAAAGTAAATTTGACACCATATTCATAATGTTATCTACATCCTTCCTATTGAAGGTGTTTACATTATAAATTTGGCATAGAAATAATAGCTTATTTTTTTTTAATATGTCTGCAAAGTCAAAAAAACTGTTTTGGAAAGTGGTACTTTCAAGATTATTTTCAATGTCATTAATCTGTTGATTTATTTGTTGAGAAATAATGCTTGCGTTAGTATTTGAATCGTTACATTGCACTTCTAAATTTGTTGCCAGTATACTATTGTCCACAGTCGTATTCCGTTCATTAATGGGAACGCATTCAACATGTACTTTTAGATGTTGTCTATAAGTTCTTAGCGATGAAAAATTTCTATTGCACAACGGTTCACCGCAAATAAAGGAATCATTGTCTTGAGCCCTATGTAGAATTCTCATATGAGTTATAAGTGAATTAATATTCTGAAATATTGTTGAACATACCTTACATTTTGGCATTATGTAAAAAATTAAGAACGCGCATACAAAAATTTAACAAAAAAACAAAAACAAAATACTATTTACATATGGTATTGTACGTCTGTAATAAGCGCAGTGGTTGCAGGACTTGACTTACTTGATTTTATATTAAAAACAATCTCTTGGATAAATAGCCAAATATGCTCGGATTCTGCAGGATACTCCACATCCAAAGCGTGGTATAATTTAAATAATAATTCCAGAGCTCTAATGCTACTGTCTACTTTGTAAACAACATCATTTACCACGACAATGTAGAAGTTGTTTACAGCCTCCAAATTCCCCGCTACGCAAGCATATGGCTGGTCCGATATACCATACGTTGACAATTTTTGACGTCTGGATGATCTTTTTTCTTGTAATTCGTCAAAATTCTAAAAGAAAAGATATAATTATAGCCATATTTTGCAGGAATATTATGTGCAATTAAAAATAAATTGTTGATAGTTTAACTGCGCCAAATACAGCAAACAAAAAATACCACAAAAATATCCATGTAATGTTAGCTATAGTAGCAAAGGCGGTCATATGTCCAGCTTCAGAGGAGGGGGGAGGGGGCTGCTTTCAAAAATGTGATTACTGATGTGAGACGAAAACGATAGAAAATTGCTCATTTAGGTGAAAATGTGCTAAATTCGGAATTAAGTTGAAACTTGGGGAATAACCGTAGTATGACAGGATTTAGTTGGGCTTGGGGGGGGGGGCCATAGCTCCCTCTTGGCAGCCCCATATGACCGCCCTTGTATAGTAGGTAGGTATACTTACAGAAATTCGCATAAAAAAGCTCTCCTGCACTTCCACCCTTGTAGGTCTCCAACTAACACCTTTTCTATTTTTTTTCAACGTTACAGGTTGAAATAGGAATGGTAAAGTAATTAATGCTTTTAAACTGGGATCTATGGATAAAAACATTAAGGTTTGTATTTTAAATTCAATGTAAACACACCTGCAACTTCAGCTATTGAAATATTTCGTTCCGCTGCCTCTTTATTAATTGCATTCATCACTTTAGGCCATGTTGTATATATAATATCTATTTTATCAGGAAATTTTTGGTTGAAATCTGTTTCTATCTGAACAGAGAAAAAAAAATTAAAATAGTAGCAAAAAATAAATATAAGTACCTACTTACCAGTTCAATGCCACTACTCAACCTAAGACATGGAAAGTCTGTGAAAATCGTTTCCAAGTTGGAATTAAGGTACAATTTTCTTCGCAACGAATAAGTTTCTTGCCAATTTGCCAAGATTTTCAGGTAAGGTTCGGTAGCTGTCTTTAAAAACTCGAGCTGTAATTCTTTATTTGGGCTTTGGCTTTGTTCTGACGGGTTATTGGGATTTTCATTTTCTTTAAATGCATTTGCGTTTCGAAGTGCAGTGCGTACGTTTGTGTACCTTGACCATAGTTTCCCTTTGGGACCAACGCCCCTCTTTTTTTTTTCCGTAACTATATATGGTATATAATATGTTTCGGACTTTTCATTAGGAAATAGTATGGTAATCTCTTCGGCAATTCTCATGAACGTACTTCCTCTAATACTAAAAATGTCATACTTATAAAATTTTTACATCTTATACCAATTAATTATACTCTTTTTTTGCACTGCATGAGTGATAACTCTTTAACCTCACGGCACAAAATTCATATGATGCCTCAATAACAGAATATGTAATATTTTTTTGTAAAACAAAAGTGCAAAACTATAGTGTATAATTAACTGAATGAAGTATAATTTAAAAATTTTTTGCATGAAAATTAAGTTGTTTTGTGTGTTATAGTAATATGTAATTACAAAAATATACATATTAACAGATTTTAATTCAAAAATTAATAAAAGTACTTAGTTATAATTAAACGGGTAAGTATACATACTCTGATCCTTTGTTGGCAAAAAGCTCATTTAGGTACAGCCACTTTTACCAATTTCTGTCGTAAATCATTAGTTAATTTGTTTCGGTTTAATAAGACAAGTTTCCCGTCTGTATACTTTTGTAGTACCCGTTCCAAACCCTGTAACAATAACCATTTTTAATTTTCATATCATATAATTTGTTCATATGGTCTAAGTATTAATTAATGTTCGGTTCTTCAATTAACGTGGAATTTATTTTTAAAACTGTAAAAAAGGGCACTAAAATATCAAACAAGGGGCGGTATACCTAATTATACTTTGACAACAAAACAAAGTTACTTTCATAAAAATGCAATTCTTAAAAACTTGGGTCGTTATCATAATATACCTATTCTAATCTATTGTCGTATTTGAATAAACGAATACCTTAACAGAAACACACCTATTAAAGAGTTAAAGACTTAACCCTTTTAATGTAACATTACGTTGTATACATACTAACCTCCGGGAAAACACTATCTATATCTCCAAGTCCAGTTTGCTGCTTCTTACTGCAGGAAGGGGTATTATCCAAGGGATCGTCAATCTTTCGTTTTTCAGAGACTTTATTACCAATATTTTCTATTACATCTAATAGTTCTTGATCTGGAACGAAACTGACATCTAGATCAGTTATAATAGACTCATTTGTGGTATAAGTTGACACTGATGCTGGAGTACTGCAGTTATAGAGATCACTTGATTCTACTTCAAAACTCTGCAACAAGAAAAGTCGGAAATTAAAATGCAATCAAAAATGCATTGACGAGTCACCTTTGATAATATTTTAACATTAAGGAGGAAATCATAAAATTCGAACTAGTGTATATCACATATCCTATCAAAGGTGATTTCATACTTTATTTTGGGTTCCTTAAATATACAGGGTGTTACATATAAGTATGTAAAAAAAAATTGGGTGGTAGAGGAGATCAAAACAACTAAAACAAGCACTTTTTTCAAATAAATCGAGGGTTCAACGCGTTTCGTTTGGAAGCTACCCCCAAAAAAGTGGTGAAATTTGCATTTCTTCTTTAATTTTTTTCTCAGCAACCAGAGTTACAAAGACGGGTGGCACGTCTTTGAATAGGTTTTCGGGTATGACCTTTCCGATTTTGCAAAAATTTTTGAAAAATTGCTACCCCTAAATGGGGATGCAAAAAAAATCACCACTTTTTTGGGGGTAGCTCCCAAACGAAGCGCGCTGGACCCTCGATTTATTTGGAAAAAGTGCTTGTTTTGATCCCCTCTACCACCCAATTTTTTTTACATACTTATATGTAACACCCTGTATATTGGTGTATTTGGTATAGGTATGCGCTCCTCTAGATGGGTGCTACCACTATTAATCAGCTAAGCTGTTACAAAGATATTGTATTATTATCTTTGGCTGTTATAAAAATCTGCTGAGGGTTGCCAAAAAAAACATATGAATTGCGGAGCGCTGCAGAGAATGTGTCAGGGGATTTAGTACAAAAAAAATGAGTATATAATACCCATTATACCCATACCTTTGAAGTAGCAGGAGTGGGAAACATTTCATTGTATTTCTTTTTAAATATCAATCGTGGTCCACTTTTAGGGAAAAGTTTCGCTATCGTCTCGGAATCCAATATCGGAAAGCTCTCATCGTCAATTCCATCATCTACAGATCAAAGCAAAACTGTATTGACATCAAGGTGTAGGGTGTAGTGTAGGTAGTAAAAATGTGTAATACCGTTGTTTTGGTAAGCGCGTATACGGCTATTATAATCGACAAATATTAATTTAAAATCGAATAACTGAGGCAAACATTCTATATTTTTAATTGTGGCATATGTCGCGGCCCAGCGCAATGGAAACAAAGTTGTGGAGATGCAACCCTGTTAGATTCTACCAGGGGCACATCCCCACGACAGTTGACTAAATTCTGGGAGAGGCGGTTCTGCCAGGCATATGTCAAAGTATCAAGTATCAAGGATAATGCGCACGTCGAATAAAAAAATTAAGCGGCATGATGAGTTACGTAGGTAAGTACTATATTTTAAAAGAAAATCGCCATAAATTGAAAGGAACAAATCTTTGAAGTGAATATTAATCATATTTTGTGAAGATACATAAAAAACATACTTTTACGATTGTTTATAAATAAAGAAAGTTTTGACTTACCTTCGAAGGCTTCTATGTAATTACTCATACCCCACGCTTCCAATAGTTTCTTATAATCCATTTATATTACGGTAAGCTAATTGTAACAAAACAAGTAGGTACGTAATTCACACGAACTCACAGCTGTAGGTATTGTATATGTTACACCCACGAACTACCTGCATACACTGAGAAAGCACGCACTCTTAAAATGATAATAAAGCAAATAAGTTTACTCATTTATTTGTAGCAGCAACCTTTTTTATTTGTAGCTAAAAGGAGCTAAGTTGCAGTAAATGAACACCTAACTTATCACTAACATCCACATCGTAGTAATACGATTTATTTGTCCCAAATCGAAGCTTGCTTACAGCAAATAGATTAACCGATTTTTTTATTAACCGCAAGAAACTAACTATTTGTAGCAGCAAAACGATCTTTAGTGGATAGTTTTTGCTGCTGTTAATAGTTGAGCAATTTACCATTATTAGTTATTTTGCTGCCATTAACAAAAATCTATTAACCACAAATAGATCGTCACAGCAAAGTAACCTATTTGGTCCATTTTTCTCAGTGTAGGAATAAGTGTTCATAAATTTCCTAGTCGTGAGAAATCGCCCTTACGTTTTAAATCATGGGCAGAGGCATTGGATTATATACTACGAACTATATAATCAATGGCAGAGGATAAATCGGGTTAAATTTGAACCGACTAAAAGCGCTGTAGTTTGTTCCGTACATTTTGCCAGTGGAGATTTCGAACCAGGCCCTGTTTTACAATAGTATATTGAAAGACAAGTGTTACAATGCGACCTATTGTAAAGCTGCATTTATAATCACTTTGTAGGCGAAGTGCAACTTTGGCACGCGTGTTAGACATATGGAGTGTAGGTATACCATTCACAACATCATCGCGACTCAGCACGGCGTGCTGCTTGTTTATGGACGCTTGCAAGCTGCAAGGTTGTTTGTCTCGTGCTGGCACACGATCATGCGCAATAGTAAACATTTTAAATTTCTAACCTCAGAGCAATTTTTTTTTATTGATAAAGCATAAATTTTATCTATAATGTCTGATGTAGAAGTAAAAGCCCTTTTGTTGGGAAGTATTGCTACCTTATTATCTATTAAATTAAAACTAAAAAGCACGAAGAAAACGCGAAAGCGAAAAAGGTTTGGAATTCATCCAATGCTACTGCAAAGAAAAAGTCAGGGGTTTTATGACAATTTAATAAATGAAATTCGAATCCATGATCCGTATATGTTTTTTAATTTCACTAGGATGTCTTCAAGCTCTTTTGATAAATTATTGTCACTTGTGGGCCCAGATATTGCAAAAAAATCTCTAAGAGAATCGATATCTCCAGGGTGCAGGTAATTATATATCTATGTGTTTTAATTAAAAATATTAATGAATCGTTTTTATTAATAGGCTTGCAATTACATTACGATTTTTGGCAACTGGAGATTCTTATCCAAGCTTGTCATATTCCTTTCGGGTTGCTGTACCAACAATTTGTAATATTATTAGAGAAACGTGCTTGGTGTTGTGGAATGTTTTGTTTCCAATAGTGTTAAAAACCCCAAATGAAGAGATGTTAAAAAAATTTGAAAAAGAATTTTGTACTAAGTGGTCATTACCAAACTGCGTAGGGGCTATAGATGGCAAACATGTGACAATTCAAGCACCTTATAAGTCAGGCTCTACATTTTTTAATTATAAAAAAAATTTTAGCATTGTTTTATTGGGCGTGTGCAATGCAGACTACATGTTTACTTATGTGGACATAGGAGCATACGGTTCACAAAGTGATGGAGGTGTTTTAAATCAATCACAATTTGGACAAAAACTTTCTACAAATAGTCTTAATTTACCATCTCCAAAGTTGTTACCCGTTTCAAGCAATGGTCTACAAATTCCACACTTCTTTGTTGGAGATGAAGCGTTCCCACTTAGAAGCAATTTGATGCGTCCATACAGCAAAGGCCGAAATGGTACAATGCCTGAAGACGAAAAAATATTCAATGATCGTCTCTCTAGAGCCAGAAGAATAATTGAAAATGTTTTCGGAATTTTAGTGGCAAGGTTCAGAATATTCCACCGTACCATAAATGCTTTTCCTGAAACAGTTGATAATATTGTGAAAGCCTGTGTATGTTTACACAATTATATAAGAATGGAAAATAATGAATGTTATTTTCAAAATGAAGACATCGATAGAGAAGTAGATGGAAAGTTAATTTCTGGGAGATGGAGGACTGAGACTCCAGTTGATGGGGCTCTGACAAACCTTCGACTGCGGTTAGGTGCTAGAAATTCTGGTGAAACTGCCTTAGCTATGAGAACATATTTAAAAGAATACTTCAATGGTTCAGGAGCATCTTTAGCACCATGGCAGTGGAATGTAATAAATAAAACTAATTGAAACGTTTAATACTGTAATGTTCTAATATCATTTTGAAGATTGTATTGCTTAATGAAATAAAATAATGAAAATCTTGAACCATACAATGTAATAGTATCGTCGAAAACCTTGAATTAGTAAATTCGCTAACAAATCATTTCCAATATTAAAACTAAACATCCACCCTGTATGCATAATAAACTTGAACTAAATCGTTAATGACATTGTTATAAATACATCGCAAACTACTTAACTAACTGAAGGATTGATCTCTAATGCGTTTTTTGAATGAAACTAATTGAAGTGTTAATGCATCCATTACTTCATCTGCGTGACTTGTAGTCATGTCTTTTAGCTCGGCAGCTACATATTGGCCAAATTTCTCATATTTTGTACCATTGTTGTCTGTATTATTTAACGAAAGTAATGAACTGGACACATCCTTAAGCACAGAATCAATTTCAACGACATCAGACCGGTCACACTTTCTTTTTGTACTTTGCTTCCCTTTTCGTTGTGGAGTATTCTCCATTTCGCTTTGCCATGTGTTGTTACTGACAGGTGAAAAACAACCTTCGTAGTCATGGTCAATGAATGTAATTATTTCAGTTTCCACTTCAGAGTTGATACTACTACTTTCACCTGAACTTGAGGGCAGATTTGTAGTTGTTTGCCTACTTTGTCCATCACTTTTATATAAAAACTTAAAAAAGCTCATAAGTGGCCAAGTAGGTCTTGTATTGGCAGGTGCGCCGCTACGGTTCAACTTTTCTTCTGTACTTATTTCCCTACGGTATTTTTCTCGAAGGGCTTTAAAGCGAGCTTTAACTGTTGCAACTAAAATAATTTTGTTAATTAGTGAAAAAACCTCAATACCTAATTCTGCAATTTACCATCTCTGTTCAGTGAATCGGCCACTGATCTCCAACAGTTCTCTTTTTGAAGAACTGATTTGTACCCTTCGTAGCTCTTGTCATATAACGGCCGATAGTTCGCCACACACTGTAGTAATAATTCATCGTTTATTTCTCCTGCCATTCTTCAATTAAATTATGAAACAATTAAAAACTTAAAAATAAATAAAGATAAACCACTTATGGTGGGTTTATACAATCATTATCATTAGTTCACTAACATTAAGTAATTAGTTCACTATAATTAAACTAATAATTAATACCCACATTGGTTTATACAATCATTAATGTCACTAAGAAATACCCAATAGGAAGGCAAACCGTGCGCATGGTTTTTGTAGGTACAGTGTGAAACGTGTTTTACCATATTTACGTGTGATTATTCAACCTCACTTTTTTTATAATAATATTATTTGGAATTTCGATAGTTTTTGGATTGTGTTGTGTTATGATGGACGACGACGAAGTGTTTGCAGCTTTTTTATTGCTGACTACAGCCGCGATGCTCTATTTAAAACGTAAAAAAAGAGTACGCAGGTACAAAGTGCGACCTATTAATCGCAACAGAATAGTACATGGACAATTTCATAAACGTGTAAGACGTATGCGAGAAATGGACCATGAACAATACTTTAAATATACAAGAATGACACCGGCAGTATTTGATAATTTGTTAAGCATTGTTGGACCACATCTGCAGAGACACAAGAAAAAATCACATATTTCTCCAGCTGAGCGACTAACCTTAACATTACAGTAAGGACTAATTTTGTTACAAAATTTAACATTTAATTAATTATTTTATAGTTATCTGGCCGAAGGATGCTCTATGCAAGAGATTGCAACAAATTTTTACATGGGGAAAACGACTGTTCATATCATAATTAAGCAAACATGCTCAGTTTTATGGGATGTGTTGTCACCCATACATTTAAAACCGCCAACTGGAACTGAATTTGTAAAGATTTCCAAAGGTTTTTATCAAAGGTGGAACATGCCTAATTGCCTTGGTGCTTTAGATGGCAAGCACATTCAAATTCAAGCTCCTGCACATAGTGGCAGTGATTTTTTTAATTATAAAAAAACTAGCAGGTGAATATTAAAGTATTATTATTACTGCATTTCATTATACTTTTCCAGTATTGTTTTAATGGCAGCATGTGATGCTTTTTACCGTTTTACGTTGGTTGATGTTGGTGGTTATGGCTCACAACATGATAGCATTGTATTCTCAGAATCTGCATTTGGTCAAGCCATTTTAAAAAATCAAAACGATGTTCTTGATTTACCCGATGCTAAACAACTACCTGGAACTTCAGTTTCATTACCTTTTTTTTTTGTGGCAGATCAGGCTTTTCCACTGCATAAACGTATTATGCGACCCTATCCAGGGGAACGACTAGGGGAAAATAAAGAAATATTTAACTACAGGTTAAGTTTCTAATAATAATTTTACATATATATAACATATAATTATAGGTTGTCCCGTGCTCGACGAACGATTGAAAATACATTCGGTATCCTGTCAGCACGTTGGAGAATCTTTCGGCGACCGATTGTCGCTAATGTGACAACCTGTGAGGCTATTGTTAAGGCATGTGTTGTTCTTCACAATTTCCTCCAAGTTAAAGAAGAGGACATACCAATGGGTAGCAGAAAGTATTGTCCTACTGGATTTGGAGACGAGGTAGATATAAATGGGGGCCTGCGTCCGGGACAATGGCGCAATGAATCAAACATGTTACGTCCAGTTGGTCGGCTTGGTTCTAATTTTTCAACCCGGATTGTACGGCAAAATCGAGAATTATTAACCGCCTACTTTGCCAGTGCACAAGGAAAAGTAAGCTGGCAATATGACCATATTGCAGAAGGCTCTCTGCCAAGTTAAAATTGAACAAATTATACTAACATTTTATATGCATGCATTGTATTTTTTCTTAATATTGTTCCATATAAATATATATAGAAATAAACCTATGGTACTAAAATACTTATATATACATCGATATTTACATTTTGTTTCATTTTGAAAATAATATATTCATGATTTCAAGCTGTTTAGCTTGTCGCGTTTCTGCATCAAGTTCTTTTAGATAAAGACCGACAGTTCGGCCAAAGGACAACTCTTTATCAATCATTTCGTCGGCCTTTTCTTGTTTGGCCGCTAAATATGTATTAAATTTATTTAAGGATGCTTCTAGGGCACCCCTAATGGGACTTTTTTTTTTTGATGTTTTGTTGCCGGATGTGTCTAATTTTCTTTTTTTTCGTGCAACAGGTTCTTGGTTTTCTTTGTCTAAAATTTAAAATCATTAACAAAACTGACTTAGGCCCAGTTTCTCAATCGCCAGTTATCGGCGGATAAAATTTATCCTCTGGGTAAGCTATCCCAATAACATTGTCGTCATGGCAACTATCTGTCAGATAACCTTATCCGGAGTTTGAGAAACTGGGCCTTAGTAATTTTGTATACCTTCCGATTGTTGGATATCATGATGTGTTTCTTCATCAAGATCCTCTTGGGAGTCGTCAATGTTCGACTCTGTGTAGAACTCCTCTACCTCCACTTCAGACCCTTCCAAAATTGTGTTAATTGTGTCCCACGGATTTGAGGGGCCAGCTTTAGTTTGCTCTTGGGCATTTCTATGTCCGGTTGCAGAGCATGAAGGGCCAGGTTTTTCTTGGCCTGCTGCATTTTTCATTTGCACGTTAGAGGTAGTTCTGTAATTACAGACAAGGATAGTAGATCAAATAATATTATGACACCAACTTACTGTCTACTTTTAATAAAACGTAGCAAAAATTCAAGCTTTTTGTACAAAGGAGATGGCTCCACAACATCTCCTCCTGCTCCAGATGCAGTTGCAACCTGCAGCTTACGTTTCTCTGTAACAAATCGGTTTCGGAGAACCGTAAACCGAGACTCGCAATCTACTGCTACAATTCAAACATATATATATTTATTTCCTACTGAATAACATTATCATACGGGTTCGTTCGAGCATTTGTGCCACTGTCGTCCAAGCATTTTGTTTGGCCCTTTTGTTTTTGAAATTGGGGCTGCTTTTGTCATAAATTTGACGAAATTGTTGCACCACATCAATCAATCTCATATCGTCTTCGTCAATCATCTACAAAATGCTTTTTGTAACTAGAAATAATATAAAATAGCGTTGGGTACTTACACTAATTGAATAAAAACAACTCGAAATAAAATACAGCTGAGTGCTACTACAGAACTAAAATAATTGTCATAACAATCAGCTGATTGTGTGTTGACAGTTACGCATGCGCACTGTTCTCTTTCACTAAGAATTTAACAAGTTTAGTTAAAAGTTAACCATCTTCTTAGTGATAATGTTAATGTTAGTTAATGAAGTAATGCTGTATAAACGCGCCCATTCATTACCATATATTTAAGTTTCTTAGTTTAGTGAGCTAATGTTAGTGAACTAATGATAATGATTGTATAAACCCACCCTTACTTGTAGGTTAGATGATTAACCGGTAACGGTAACACGCATGCGTAAATTCGTGCCAACTTTAGTAATTGTAAATGCTCGTCACATGTACAGCACGCGTGCCAAAGTTGCACTTCGCCTACAAAGTGATTATAAATGCAGCTTAATACGACTATCTTGCGGCACGAGTGGCCGAGTGTCCGCAAGATAGGAGTATTACAATAAAGCATTGTAACACGCGTTTTTCATACTATTTTTTCTATTTCGGTGCTGTAATTTAATTAAGGAAATCATTATCAGAAACTATAGGGAACATTAGAACTAACATGTTTTATGTTGGGAACACTTTTTAATGCCGTTAAGTTTTAGGTTGGCAGCGTAGTAAGACTGACATTTTGAAGTTCAAACATGGAAATACCTTAGACTAAAGTCACTAGATATAGAAAGTACCGCAATCATCCGCCATTTTTGGGCAAATTTGCTGCCAACTTAAAAAAATTGACAAATAAAATCTGAATAGCTGTCATTTTTTATAACCTAACTTCATAGTACTGTCATGTTTTATAAAAATATATACAGATATCTCCAAACAGGTGGAACAATCCCTAACATTAAAGTTACTAGAATCTGGTAACTTCCGCCATTTTTGGGCAAAAATCATGCGTTCTCTCTCTAACACACGAGCCCAATGGATTGCGGTACTTTCTATATTTAGTGACTTTA